CCCCCCCCCCACCCACACACACACACAAAAAAAAAAAAAGAGTAATGATGATATTACAATTGACACCTTGTTTTTTAGGATTTAGAAGGGATAAGAAGGTCATTTAATTTGTATGGACATTTTGGTAATTTGACTTTCAACTTTGTGGCTTCCCACTTATAATATAGTTTGTATGTGTGTGTGTGTGTGTGTGTGTGTGTGTGTGTGTGTGTGTGTATATATATATATATATATAATGATATATGATATGATATCATATGATGATTAAAGAAACAAATTCCATGAATGGACTCCGGTGGTTGTCATCTTCACTGAACTTGGATGTGCAATGTTCTTTCAGCTTTCTACCACTATTTACGTTGTTGATCAACTTTACAGAAGATGTATTTTGGTGCACTCTGGCATTCTATAATGAACCTTAACTTTTAATACTGGAATTATATGTATTGCAGGATATTCTACACGAACACCTGAGTTTAATGGTGGGCGTACACCATGCATTTTCAGACCGGTCAAGTGCTTTATTGACAGTGCAGACTCTCATTTCGGAATTGTCTTCTTTAAATTCAAGAGCAGAGAAACTTGAAACAGCAACTTCTAAGATATTTGGAGGTGATAAATCAAGAGTTCGAAAGTCGGAAGAGTTAAAAGATGCTATTAGGGTCACTGAAGATGCCAAAAGCTGTGCCATCAGAGAATATGAGCGCATTAAGGTATTTAAAATTAGCTCATGGCGTCTGCGGTTGGTTCATTTAATGTTTGTAGTATTGCCATTGTGTGCTCTACTAGTTCTGCCTTGCATTCTACGTCTTTTGTTGTTTGAAAAGTGGCTTATTGTCATTGGTTTACTTCAAATTTACTACTCTTTGTGTTGCTGAATTGATGTTTTATTGATTACCCCAATTAGCTGAAGCAAACTTTCTCGTTGGTTATTTGAGATATGCAGTGCATTTCATCTTGTTGGAGGTGATTAAAAATCCTTGTCTCTTATTACCTTAGGTCTCTGATGATATTTAGTGATTCATGTTGAAAATCCTTTTGAATGATTTCTGTTAGATAATTTTGGTAAATTGCTAAAATGACCCAGAGTTGCACTTACCCCAAGTTTCAAATATTAGCAGACTGAAACAAGTCGCTTAGTCTGTTGCTTACAGCTCATACTTCTATGAATCTTTCTGGTGACATGGCACATTTGTTCTAACCTTGCAGACCTAATCTTTATCTTAAATGCTACTTCTATAGCTTTCTCCATTAAGACGAATACAATGATTTCCCAGTTTTATGTTCCTCGCCAATTTTATAAATGTATATAGGTGTATTCATGATAATAGTATTTCTAATTGGTGTGGATGTATTAATTGAAGAGCTTACCCAAAAAAAGGATGTTCTTTTTTGATATGTTAATGAATTTCATAGAAGGCATCAAGGAGATGCAAAACAGGGCAAGAATATAAAAAAAGACAATGTTAGCTCTATTACAGAAGGACTACTCTAAAGTGAAGGAGCTAACAAAGTCCAAAAAGGTTTCATGGGAAGTTACAGGGGACAGGTTGCTCCAACTAAAAAGACTTGTTAAACATCTGGTTTTAAGAATGTAGTTTAGAGTAGATATGCCATCAAAACATATAGTATTTCTTTCTGTCCAGATACACCAAAAAATACAAGCAGGGAGCATCTTCCATACTTTGCTGATGGATTTTCCAACCTTCCATGAGATCCAGCTAGCATCTTTTACACTCTCAGACAACCAAAAAACGGATGTATTTAGTGAAGAATACTTTCTTTCCGCCTAGCATATTGTTCTTTTCAACCTGAAAGAGCTGCGTGGTTTTTCCCTTTGACAGTTTTCTTCTCAAGTTCTTTGATGTAATACTTTAAAAATTTCAAGATCCAAAGCTAATAATTCTTTTTGAGAAAACAAGCTAATATAGTAAATTTTTGTTCTATCTCCACCAATAAAATTACAGCTGATACAATGCTTTTAGTCTATGTAAACAAATTGATACATTTTTATTGTCTTAAACTACCTAAAACTTTAAAGATGCAGTTGTGGACTCTTATCTTCAATGAAATTTCAAGTGAATATCCATGAAACTTCTTCTTGTCCTATGTCAGGCAAATTGCACTATACTTTTTCTCTGACAATCTTAGTCAATCTTAGTAGGCTGACAATCCTTCGAAAATCACTATCTTAAACTAAGTTTCCACCTTTTCCTTTCAATAAATGTCGGGTACACTATAGTTGCTTTCATTTCCATCTCATTTGTGATAGTCCTTGTACTTATCATTCAATCAGCTATGCCCGAACCCCTACCAAAGTTGGATTGGTTGTATGAATCATCTGAAGCTGTATGCTTTGTTCAGGCCTAATTATATGCCCTAATTCAGGCCTTAAAGGCAAATTAGGGGTTCTCTAAAATTGGAGGGTCTCTGAATCTAACATATATTCTTACGGTCGTATACAACTATTAACCAGACTAAGAAAACTCTTGGCAAACACCTCCCGTAATACAAGTGCACTTACAATAACTATACCTTAATACCAGCTAGTTGGTATCATCACCTAATGTGAAACTAATCCAAAAAATATCTAGGATAGTCTAGAATCAGAATCACAATCATAAAGTAAGGTAGCAAGTTTGGGGATCACATCGTAACCAAAAGTTTAGATCCTGCTGTTATCATTGTGTTTGGCGGAAACCGGAGATGGAGAAACATGCAAACAGGTTGAAACATCAATTTATCCCATGTGATAACTTCTACCCGGCCCTCCCATGTGATATCCTTTTAGAGGACTTATAATCTGCACCCTTTTCTAATAAAACCCATGCTGAGATGAACCAGCTTTTGGACAAAATATTTTACCCTGTTCAGTCTCTAATTAGACACTTAGACATGAAGCAACTATCATACTTTAATTGCAGAAGTTGGAGAGAATTAGAGAAAACACTAGAACTATGAGAAGTTGGAGAGAATGTACATTTTTGTGGTAGGAGTAAAATCATCAGAATCAATTCCTTTAAGCTGCCTTGAGTTTGTCTTGGTAGTCATCCTGCGAAATATTTTTTGATAAGGAGTCATCCTGCGAAATATAGGACTAACACTGGCTGTACATGAACTATACAGTGAGTAGAAATAGAATTACTTAAATTTTTTGTTCTTAATCATGCTGGACTAACTTAAAGAGTGTATTTATGAAGTTATGTTCGTTTAAGCGTTGCTTGGCTATAAGATTGACTTCTAGGCTCATCCTAGGCTTATCTTTGTGTTCACACAATTTGCAGCGCCAACCATAATTTTAGCTGCCCATGTGGATGCATATTCTTTTATTCATCTTGTTGATGTGAACGCATCTGAGAATTTTTTGTTTTGATCCACTGCCTCTTTATATTTTTGGGAAATTAATAATCTCTGTAGTTAGTCTTATTAAAAAAATAATTTCAGTTGTTAGGGTGTGCTTATGTACTGTTCTTTCGGGAGCCCTAACAATTTATTTGTCTGATTACAGGAGAGTAATCGAAGTGAGATAGATAGAATAAATAGAGAAAGGCATGTTGACTTTGTGAAGATGTTGAAGGGATTCATAACTAATCAGGTACCTCATTGTTTTCTGACTGGTTTCTCTTTTAGATAGATTGCTAGACTTAAGTTCCATTTCTTGTTTGTTGGTAGTACTGCCTCCACCTGCCACCCTCCAAGAT